AAAAAAAAAAAAAAAAAAAAAAATATGAAGGTAGTTTTCTTGTGTCCTTGTCAAACTAGATGTTTTTTCCAGAATGTTAAATAAGCGATGGCTCTTTCCATTGCTGCAGTGAGGTCCTCCTTTGTACAGGTCTCACCAAGGAGTTGGAAAAATGAGAATGTGCTCTATAGTTTGCACTTAAGTGCACTTGTATACATTTTTGTTGTTTGAGTAGCCCCATTTGATCATGTTTGTTTTTGATTTTCCAATTTGTGTGCACAGGCAATTCAGGCAGATCTAAATTGGCCATGTGGGCCAACCTAGATCCACCTCTCTTAGAAGGTCCTTCTGGGGTTCTTTTTGGCTCACTACCTTTCTTTTGATATCAGGTGGTACAATGCCAGCCAGTAAGTACAGGCTATCCCTTGGTGTTGGCTTTAGACATCCTGCTATTTCACAACAGCTGTCACTTAGAACTGGGTCTATTTTCTTGGCATGAACTGATCGTTTCCATACTGCATACTCTGCAGTGGAGTAACACAAGGTAACAGCAGTGGTTTGTAGTGTAGCTGGGTCTGCCCCCCACTTTGGGGTGACTAATTTTCAAAGCATGTTGTTGCAGGCACTGAGTTTCCTTGTCATCTTCTGTACATGTGCTTTGAAGGCAAGCGTTTCGTTCAATGTATCCCTCAAGTACACAGGGTTCAGCTGATTTGTCAATGGGATTCCATCCCAGATGTTTAGTTTTCCTCTGCACTTCTCCATAGTGTAGGTGAAAAGCTGTGACTCATGTCTTGGTTAGGTTGGCACAAAGCTGGTTCTTACTGTAGTGATCTGAGAGGTTGCTCAGTGTGCATGGCAGTCTGTTCGACAGTGGCAAAGTCCTTCTCTTGCAATGCGATGCATAGATCAATGCATATTAAGCTTCTTGTATTACTCTGTATGGGTTGATTATTGGTATATATGTTAAAGAGGATCAGTGCTAGCATGCTGCCCTGTGGGAGGCCATTTTGTTGCCATGTCCAGAGGCTCCATTTTTTGCACAGTTCTATCTAAAAGTGCCTTTTCTACAAAAGAGATCAGTTGTGGGTCATATTGTAGGCTGTGGCAATCAGGTTTTGGTTGCTGACTGTGTCTATAAACCTGTAGATACATCTACAAATACAGCACTTGTCACCATCCCTTTCTTGAATCCATCTTCTTTATGCTGGATGATGTTTAGTATTTGGCCAGTGCCAGACTTGTCTGATCTAAATACAGCTTGTTCTGGTATCAGATGTTGTTTGATATCAGGTGAAAGGTGACTGAGAATTCATAAAGCCTACCATGATGGCACTGACACTGGCCTAAAGTTCTCTGGGCAAGAGGCATCCTTTGCTGGCTTTAACAAAGTTATTACACAGGCCTGTTCCCATAACTTAAGCATTTTAAGGCTTTTAAAGGAAAGGTGAAGCCAGGAGCTTCAATTTATGGCTTAACCACAGAGCTGGGTTTCAATAGGCCTAGAAAAAGACCATTAACACACAGCTAGATAATGTAGGCATCAGCCCTATTACAAAGGCACAAAGGGCTGTGTGCAGGACAGCAGCATGCATTGGCTGGTTACTTTCAGGAGGGAGTAGTACTTCAGAGGCAAGGCATCCACAGGGACCAGGCTGCAGCCGCATGTTCCCAAGACACTGTGGGGTCTCTTTCCAAGTCATATCTGCACAGTGATCAGTCCAAGCCACGAGGATGGAAGTTGCTCAGGTTTTCAAGTTTGCAGGGGAGGCACTAACACAAGACTGGAGACCACACCTTTGAGAGTTAACAGAAAGCGATAACAATGGGAGCAGCTAAGACTATCTGCAAGCCAGCCTTGCCATCTGGGTTCCCAGGTGTTCCAAGCTGTTCCCAGGACACAGTAAAAATATAAGGCAACAGAAGTAGCAGAAGGATTTCTGTCTTAGGAAAGAGCATGCCCAAGACACTGCCGGGGCAATACAGACACTAAAACCAATGCAGCTCGGAGCATCTTAGGAGTTCAAATAACTATGAGCAAGATGGGCCCTGTATTTCAAAAGGAAGAGAATGCTGCAAGCAAAGTAAGGAGGCAGCTCTGACCAACATTTACCCCTCCATAACCCCCAGGAACAGGCTAGACTATACATAGTGATTATAGAACCACCGATGTAGACTCGAGGCACCCCATTACACTCAATGTATGTGGAATTCTGGAATTCCCATAAACTGGAATTTTTGCTCAACTTTGAGTTGAGCAAATGCTTATCTCCTCACACCTCCTGGTCCCCTTCAAAAAACTTCATGGCACCCCAGGGTGCCCAGCACCTGAGAATTACATGCAGGCTCTGTATTGGTAACTTAAGCTCCTTGCATCTTGTTATAATTTGTTCAAAAACTTCAGAACAGACAGTGCCATTCAGCACCCAAAACAACAAGGCTCCACCATTCAGGAATTCTGGGAACCAGAGCAATAAAGGCATGCATGGTGCTGATTTTTTAGTTTCCACGCCACCCTCTGCCCCCTCCCTCCCTCCGAGGGCCCAGCATCACATTCAAAATGTACATTTAAAAATATGTAAAAAACAGAAGCATTTTACATAACATGATCAAAACATTAGGGAGCATCTGTGTCATTGCAGGAGCAGGGTGCCCCATGCCAGAAGGCTGAGCAAATCAACTTGAGTCCACTGACACACTCCAGAGCCAGAAGTTAGATATGAGGCTACCCCAGGTTCCTTTCCAGCATCCACTCTCGAGCCCTTAGTTTCCAGCAGGCACTGGTGCCAAGGCTGGGGTGGCCCCCTGAGCGGCTTTCTGGAGCACGTCAATAGATACAGGTAGGCAGGGTGTGGCTCAGCCCCATCTTCCAAGCCCTACTGCCAATGCAATCTAGACTAGCCCTTAGAAGTTTCCAGGATTCATCTTTAAGAACCAGTGACATATTGTGCTCAAGCATCTTTCTCTGTTGGCAACACAGATGCTGCAGCACAGGTTCAGGAACTAAAAACAGATGTGTGAAATGGACTAATGCTATTGAGACAAGTCAAGCAAGCAGCATCACCTGGGAAATGAGGACTCTGATGCTCAGTTTGGTCAGCAGGAGACACGGCTGGGGAGGGATTATTTTTAAGCCCAGTTTCATGCTATGACTGTGGCATGAAACAGTTGCCCAGAGCTCTCAACTACCTAAATATAGGATATCTCCCTTTGGAGAAAATGAGAGGTGATGGAAGCAGAGAGATTCCATCCACTTCAGATTAGACACACAGATCAGGAAGAGAAGAGTGTATATAGCACCCAAGCTGACCCACTACAGCTGCCAAGGCAGTCAATAGCCCTAAGCGATGCAGGATGGGAACTACCCAACAACAGTGCCCTTGCCCTGGATGCAACAGGCCCTGTGAAAAAAGCCTCCTGCTGTGCTCCCCAGTGAGTCACCTCTGAGCAGTGCTCTGCTCACTCCTCTGAGCAAGGCTGAAGTGTCCTGGAGAGGATGCCCCATCCCAGGGTATTCATACCAGCGCCCTGGAGGCCAGCCAGACACAAGATGCCAGAAGTGACATGCCTCAGCATTAGGCAAGCAGCAGAGAAGGCTGGAGGCAGGAAGCTTGCAGGCACTCACCTTCTTGTGCTTCTTGGCCATCCATTTGTCCCAGTTATTGAGCATGTCCAGCCACTTGGACTCCCTCTGCCTCAATACCTCCAGCGGCACCTCCTCCAGTCTAGGGGAAAAGGAGACAAGAGAGGAGTCAGTAGGAAAGGACCCCAACCTGTGAGGAAGTATCTAAAGTTTGACTTTGACCCAGTCAGGCCAAGGACAGGCAGGTTTACCACCACTGCAAGGGTGTTTGGGCCTCTATGTAGAACAGCCCTCAAAACCCCTTCAAGACCCTTTGTGACTCCATTCCTCCCTACCAATTCACCTGTTACCAGCCCTCCTTCCTAGCAGTGACACCAGCTTTGCCTTAGCCATCCCACTACCCATCATGCACAGAACCCTCTTCCCAACCAAAGCCAGGCAGCTCCCTGCCACTCTGTGCAGATATCTGCCGCAATGTCCATCAGGGGCTACTTAAGAATAGCTCAAAGCACAGGTGGGGACAGCAAGTAATAGACACCAACTCTCTCAAGACAGAAACTACAGCCACTACCACAACAGAGCCCCCACCCCTAGGTGCCACAGCTTTAACAGACAGCTCCCATGCAAGTCAGTTTTTGGTCCCAACCCTATAGTGTGAGAAAGAACAAAATCAGCCCAAGATGAGCAAAGCTGCTCACAACCCAGGAACATGTGGTCACCTCTAAGCCAGAGGCAGCCAAGAGCCCTCCCTCAGCTCTGCATGGAGTGGCACTGACTTCTCAGAGCTCTGAAATCAGAAACACCAGGATGTTGCACGTGTCAGGCTCTGCATTGGGAGCACCAGCATCCTACTGGCTATGGGGACCTGATGTTTACACCAAGACCTCTGCAGCCCATGATGCCACCCAGCTCTGCTCCCTGCATCACTGTACTACCCTGAGCCTTGTAATTACAGCCCAGATCTAACAGCATCAGGATGGCCTCCAAGTCAGTGAGCAGGCACTGGTCTGGTCCCCCTCAACTCCCTTCCCAAGTTTCTGCAGTTTAGTCAGACCAAGGTTTAAGGCTGCAAAGCCAGGGGTCCTGGTCTGGCACTGCAAGCCAATACCTATGATTTCAGCTGAGTCCTCTAGAGCAGGATTATCAAATATTTTGCCCACGAAGTCCTGCCATCCAGCTCTCAGGGCTTCCTGAGAGTCTGATCAGACCTACATGGGGCATGGCATGTACCCATGGTGCAGGGCCAGTCTGTGGGCCAGACTGGACCCATGGACCCCCCTCCCTCTTTCCCTAGGATACCTGATTTGGAGGCTGCCCCAGTTGGTCTGGGCGCAGGGCCCAAAGTGGCAGAAACAGGTGCCACAGCCTGGCCAGAGTGGCAGCCATGCTGCATTTACAGTACCCACACTGGCAGCTACAGGGCCCAGGCTGTAAGTAGCGTTTGAGAGCAGTGTGTGCAGCGTGGTCCTGGGATCATGTACGGATGGGGCAGGGAGGGAAGGGGAGGGGTCCATGGGCCTTATCCACCATGGGGACCAGCCCTGCACCACTTATCTTGACACACCTGCTATAGATTAACAGCAAGGCTCAGGTACCTGGCTGAGGACAAGGAAAAAGGCAGCCCTAACTAAGAGCAATGCACTGAGGATCTCTCAAGGACACCCTGTCCCTGAACTTGGTAGCTGTTTTACTCTTCTACTGGAACTGTGCTTTACAGCTTTTACTTGGTCTGAAGCAAAGTCACAGTCCTCTTCCTCCCAACCCAGAGGGGAAGTAACAAGACAGCTATTCCCCCAGAACAGGGAACAGGCACCAAATCTGGACAGTTGAAGAACTGCCACCTACCCACCGTACAGAGTGGCAAGAAACGGGGTTAGACCCAGGGCCTAGACGTGGCCTGTCAGTGGAAGGAGGGTGGGGCTTTCAAATAGGTTCCCCTAAGTACACCTCTGCACAGAGTCCCTGATGAGAGAGGGGACTCAGCAGGGGCTCTGCTGGCTTGGAAACTGGGTTCAGATAGCCCACAAGAAGGTATTCTGACAAAGTTAAAAAACCACGGAGGAGACTTAGTGCATCAGAAAGCCACAGCCCACCCTAGCCCAGCTTCCCCCTGCCCTCCCCCCACAGCTGGAGCATGACCATACATGGGCTATCTACAAGCATTGCAGTGCTGAGCCACTCTTTACAGGCTAGCACTTTGTTACTGAACAGCACTGTCAGCTACAAACCCAACACTGGAAACCTTAAACCAGCCAGGCCCCAGTGCTTGGCTCTCTTTTCCAGCCCTTCCCCCACCAAGCCATCAAGTGGCCCCTAAGGAGGAAAGAAAATTCTCCAGCAATATTTTAGTTTAGATCTAGTCAGATTTAACCCTTGATTACATGGGGCTCCAGAGGGAAAGTGGTTTGACACCTGGACAGAATCAGAAAGTTCAGTCCTCAAGGCACAAAAAACAAAACAGGCTTCTCTTTAACCCCCCAGAGAATCACTCACCACAACAGCAAACTGACTTTCACTTCCACTGCAAGATCAAAGCCAGTGTCAGAATTGCTCTCTGCCCACCCTGCCCTTTCTCACTTTGACTACACTGGATCAGGAAGTGATAATAAACATCAGCCCCTTGGAGTGGTTATTACATTTGAGGCCATGCATCCCAAAGGGTCTCAAAACCACTAATGCATTTCCCCCCAGAATGCAAAAAAGTTCTCTCAATTTTACAGACTAAAGAATTAAGGCTGCACATTATCAGAGGCAGAACAGCCTTTGAACCCACATCTTTAGGTCAGGACATTCGCTACAGGACCATTTCCCGGCTTTATAGCCCTGTCTTCCAGACCTACTACAAGACCTGGTTTTCTTGATGCTACAGCCAGCAGTCATGAATCACAGGAGGCACCAGAGAAGTGACCAAAGATGTTCTAAGTGGAATGAGGGAGGGACAGGAAACATTCGTGGACCGCCAGATCCTTCCTTGGAATCCACAGCTCTAGCATTTCCCCTGAGGTCTCATGAAAGACTTGTGCAGAACAGCAGGGGAAGTCACTTCATGCCAAAAGCATTAATTTTTAGGACAGTTTATGCAGCAAATTTATTCCAAAAGAAAATCCACTTAAGCAAGCCACCCCCACTGCAGAGGATACTGCCAAGTCCTCCATTCCCCCAGGACCACCTCTCCACCAGATAGAGGAGGCTGGTTATCCTGCCTTCTGTTAGATATGTTGATGGCTGCTTTACTGCAAGTTCAGCCACATATGCAGCCTTACCCTGTAACAGGCCTGCAAAGTGCTTGCTGGCAAGTGCCTAGCTTTCTGGAGGAGAGAGAACTCAGCCGGGCTGGTCACTAGACAGTCTGGATTTGAGCCTGCTGGAACCAAGCCAGGATGGACTGGATGCCACTAGCAACTGATGGCTAAGGCATGCATGAAATGAGTTTTGTGGGTTCCCAGTCCAGTTCCGAGTGGATGGAGTCACCAGATACTCCACTGCTGGTTTCTTGGCTCCTGAGCAGGCTAGGAACGATGCGGTCTAATGCACTGGGCTAGGTCCTAGGCTTAATTTGGCATGTCTCAGATAAGTTGCATTTCTCCATCCTGCTTCCCCAAATGCATAATGGGACCATGGTGCCTCTTCTCCCTACCACCAATGGCCTCATTTTCCAGATACATGGGGTCTAGCACAGAAGGGCCTGAGCTTGCTCAGCGTTTCTCTACTTGTACAATCAGTAGCATTTAGAGAACTCCAGCTACCTCTGTTCCTTGCCCCCAAAGCCACAGCACATAAGTGACAGGGGTGTGCAAGGGGAAAGCTGCTCTGTGCAGTAACCATTCTTTAGAAGACACAACATTCACCCAAGACCTTTCACTGACATTAAACTACTCAAGAAAATGTTACAAGAGAAGTAGAACAGAGGGCAGTTGCATAACTGGGGTGGGGCAACAGGGGCAACTGCCCGAGACACTGAGGTGGATGGGTGAGGGGAGGTTAAAAGAAAAAAAATGAGGGGCTTTTACCACAATCACATGATTATGATAGCAATGGCCACTAGAAGCGGCTAGCAGTGGCCCCAGGTGTCTGGCCACATTCTTACACAGCTGCAGGGGGACCCGATAAGAACAGCCCATCTAATATGCAAGGTCATATGCTTGTCAGGTCTCCAAAACCTGGATACACAGGGGACCAGGCATAACAAGCAGCCCAGTCAGGCCTGCTGATGCACCCTTCACTCTGAATTGATCTGCTCTGGCAGCTTTCACTCAGCCTCACACTTCCAGGTTTTGCAGTCCGAAGACTGGGGAGCCCCCCCCTACCCCAAACAACACAAAACTTATGGAAAGAGAACTTCATGCCAGCAGCCAAATCCAGCTCTCAGGATACACCTACTTAACAAACCCTGTTCAGCTAACCTTGGCTTTTAACTGCTGCTGGCTGAAGCTGTGCTAACTCGATAGCCACAAGACTGACCTGAAGCCAGCAGACTATTTGAAGCCCTCTCAAACCCACCCAGTGCCTTGAGACATAACAAAGCAGCCTTGTTCAACAGCTCCGGATCACCATGCTTCCTCCACACCAGAGGATGGTCGAACCTGTTCCAAAGCAGTACAACAAAAGGCCATTCAGGCTGTGTTGGGGCACAACAAGGAGGGGAGCTCAGCCACTGCAATTCACTCCGTATGGGGCTGGGAGTCCTGGGCAGCTGATGAGCCAACGCTTCTCAAAAATCTTTTGGACTGGGAGCTGAGATGACAGCAATCCAGAGGGAGCCTCCAACAGTGTCTTAGTCCAGTGGTTTACAACCTTTGGTCCGTGGACCCCTGGGGGTCCATAGACTATATGTAAGGGGTCTGTGAAAGAGTATAATAAATCAAGCAAAAGTATAACCAAGCAAAATAATACCTGCACTTACAGTTCAAAGGAGTCTGCACCTCCATTCAAAATTTCCAAAGGGGCCTGGCAAATGAAAAAAAGGTGAAATCCACTGTCCTAGTCCATCACTGTCCAGCAGAGGAAGTCTCTGGGTAACTGTTGTCCCAGATAACTGTGCACGCGCACACACACACACACACACAGAGGAAAGAATCAACCTACACATGCTATAGGTAACTCTTTCTGTGACTGCAGCCACCACTTGAGTCCATCTGGTCAATTCAGGTATTACCCAGGGCTTGCTCACCCAGAAGCCTATCCACACATCAGGGGACCCTTCAGTGCTACAGAAGAGTCCCTAACAGTGGACTGTGCTGTGTACTTCAGAAGACTGGGCCTTCAGCCTGAGCTGGAAACGTCCTATTCCATCTCAGGACACCAGTCCATCTTGCAGGGCTAGGACTTACCATACAAAGGGGTCAGACTGAAAGCAGTGCAAAGTCAACAGCAGCTGCCTTAGGTCCCATAAAACACTTGCCCTGCTGGATGCTTGGGCCAGCAGCACTCCCAGGAAGCAGTCTGTAGTCTGCCACAGCTGTGCAGAAGCAGAACCACCTGCCTTTGTAACATGCCACAGAGCAGTGAGTATATGGCCTTGGGTGCTGACATCAGACCCCAACCGGCAAGGGACTTAAATACTTGAAGTCACCCCAGTAGCACTTCACATATTTAAAATGCTGCACACGATTTAGTGCTAGATCAGGGTGCTTTAGCCTAGCACATGCTGCCCAAGCCACTAGACTCTGGGAACCCAGAGCATCCCCCAGCCAAGTCTACATCTGCTGCAAAAACACAAGTCTGCATGCAAGTGGCAAATGACTATCCCAAGAGGGACATGGAGGCAGGGAGTCAGACAAGTGCCTGCAGGCTCCAGTACAGGAACTACTTACTGTCCACTCTCCTTCTGGGCCCAATACCAACTGAAGTTGAGACTAGCTAGTGCCTCACCACCCACAGCCCCAGGAAGCTGCCTCCCCTTTACTGTAAAAGCTACCTTTTGCAAGGATGCAACAGAGGGCTGTGAAGATGGATGTTATACTATAGGGCAGCAACCTGGACTCCTACAAATGCAGTGTGCCCTATCAAAGGCACCTGGATATTCTTACTTCAGAGAAGTAGCATATCCCTCCCTGCACAAGCCCCGACTGCATGGAGATAGATTCCTCAGAGGCAAGGACAACAACAGATGAGATCCAATCTGCCTGACCTGGCATCTGGTCAGTCACAATTAATCTGCCCACAATGCTGGTTGCCTTACAACTGGTCATCACTGACTCAGTCTCCGCACCTATTGTTGTTACAATGAAGGCCAGAGAACGCCATGTCTGGCTGTCTCCACCAACTCCCTACACACCCAGGACAGGGTTATAGCTCAGAGATGCGATTCTCCTAACTGCCTCCCCTCCAAAAGGGCACTGGAATAGGAGACGATTCCTGCATAAAGGTGCTGCCATGCACTGCCCTAGCACAACCCAATTTTTGGCTGCTCCCACAGAAGGCAGGTGGGGACTAGGAACCCTACAGCAGAAGCACAAACTCCCTATAAGAGGAAGCACCTCATGCCTCCGATTCTGTCCAGTGAAGCACCAGTACCGGAGGAAGTGTCCCCAGACAGCCTAAAGGTTGCAGGGGTAGATGTGAAGTGTAGGAAAACAAGAACTCCCAGGTAAAACCCTGCTGCCACCACCACCTCAGAAACAGAAATCCCGTAAGTGTCCCCAACTCTTCTCCTGGAAGAAGTAATTACATGGTTCTGGCCTAATCAGTTCTTCAGCATCTGTGATCCACACAAGACAGGGTGGTGGGTCACCCCTTTGAGTGAGCGAGGTCTTCATCAGAGATGCTAGGGCTCCGGCAGTGGGGCACAGCAAAGACTAAGGAAATGGCACTTGCTGGAAGAAGTGGCGCACAGAGAAAAGCCTCCTGGTGTGGAAAAAGGAAACGTGGGCAGGAATGCCATCAGCTGAGAATGACTGGCCCTGGAGTTTCTAGAGCTCTATGGCTTTTCTCAGCAGGAAAACTGCTGAACAAGTCACTTGGAGCATGAACTCTACAGCCCAGAAGTGGCAGCAACAAACCACCCCCTCTCCAAGTAACGCATGCCTATTGCAGGGTTACAGAAGGGGACAGGGATTGAAGTACAGACTATAGATCAGAACTGAACTTCTCAAGGAAGTAACAAAGCTTCATGGTGCTTGATCTGGCAGAGCATTCCCAATTCACCTCCGCTCCAGCTAGCACAACAAACAAGTGAACCATCCTACAGAGATGCCCTCATGTCAGCCAGGGAGGTCACTGCAGAAGCACCTAAGGGAACTGCTGTTTCATTCTGGTGGATGTCCATACTGGAAGATGTTCACCCCAGCAGCTTCTAGCACTCTAGAAGCTCTATCTGTGTCTACTACAGCACTAAGCATGTGGACTAAGACCATTAAACAGAGCACCCCCCAAGCAGGGCTGGGAAGGATTTAAGGGGAAAAAAAAAATTAAACTCCAACCCTAGTATAGCCATATCCCGTCACAGAAGCATTGCTAGTCAAGGCTGTCATCACTGCTTACAAAAACACTGAGCCCCTGTATGCCCTAGAGGCATAAGATCAAAGGCATGAAAACAGCTATTTTAGACATGGGGACACTGAGGCACAGAGGAATCAATAGAACAGGCCTTAACAAGTCCCAGGGAGTCTGCGATTCCCATCCAAACTCAACTCTTAGTTCCTGCCCAACCACTGACCCACGCCACCTGACCTTTTAGAGAACTTTGCACTCGCATTCAAGG